GATCGGCTCGGTCAATGGTTAATAGGATTTCTAGGTTAGTCTGTTTCTTACTATCAGCACAGATAATATAATACTATACTTCTATAAGTTAGTACAGTTGTATGCAGGTATATTTAAAATATAGTATATATGAAGAAACGTAATCAATGAAATTGAACAATTTGCACCACTTAAATTTTGCTAAATCAGTTAGCCCACAGTGAACGATATATTTTTTGCAAATGTTCGAAAGTCGAAAGGAATATTTTTTTTTTATTTCCAAGGATAAATTATGAGAATTATATGAAATATCACAATTTCATAATTTATATATATATTTTTTATATTTAAACAAATTATGAAATTCTTTTTGCTTCGTATATACAGAGGTTACAAATATTTTAATACACGGACTCTTTGTAATTAAAACATGATAATTGGGTAAAGAAGAGTGGTGTTGTATCTGTCTGGTTGTATGATCGTTCATATCTAAACTACCTACCAAAATAAGATAAATTCCATCTAGAAAAATGATACAATGGACAACGAAGACACATAGTTTTATTATAAATAACAATTATTGCAAAATGTACGATGACGAATATATATTATAGATAATGTGTAAATTCGATATCATGCTTCCTTGTTCGTTCTCTAAAGAATAGTCATAGCAGTACAATAAAAGATAATATTATGATGAATATAAAAAAAGAAATAAACACAAAGCAAGTAATCACTACGGCATAGAAATACGTATATTGCAGATATATAAGCTATATATTTCAATAACAGGTTTTGTATTATTCGACTGTATATAAATATTTCGATTGTATCGTTGTGCTCAACACAGCAAATGACACGCTGCACTTCTACACGCTTATTGAAATTCAGTGTAGCAAGGGGCGAGGGAGGGGGGCAATATTAAGTACAACTAGGTACATTGTTAAACGTTTTATGACCAAGCTATTGGTTACAAATGTTCAAAATTACTGACGACTTAATTTCATCCGCCGGCATTACGCAGAGACTTACATGTATATTTATGTGAAATTTTCTGAGGGATTAATCATCATACTTCGGAATTTGTATCATAATTGTAGTAATTAATTAATAATTAGATTTCTAAATATTCAATAATCAATAGTGACGGAGGGGTTAACTAAGAAGCCCTTTACTAGCAATATACTCTAACAAGTCGACCTCCATGCGATTCCCCCTGGAAACGATCGTAGTTAATTTGTGATGAATTAATTATGATGGGCCAACTGACGTGCTTCATCTTCACTCATCATCTCTCACTGGTGCCCCGCCAGCGTATACTCTTAGCGCAAGTGGGGTTGCCATACATAAAGATGCCGGATGTTATGAACGACGCCGCAACGGGTAGAATCTTTTCACCATTACATTTATGTTGATTTATTATATCAGCCGTTATATGATTTATCCCTTTTGATATGAAAAAAACTGTTGAGTAATAAACTACAGTTTATGCGAGCACAATACTCTCTTATACTATCTACATGTAGATAGAACAACAAACGTTACCAAATATCATTAAGTAACTATACCTACTTATTCACAGTAATTTAATCAAGAGATGACAAACAATATTTCTTATATAAATTTTCTTGGGATTTCTCTTGTTGTTTAAAAACAAATTCTGCAAACCGATTAGCGACATTTAATAACATAATTAGCGTCTTGTGTCGATCCTACACATACTGTTTATCAACAAGCTCTATATATATAAGCGATCTGGGCCCCGGCGTGGCCACATGCCGTAGAGCTACCGGACATACTCTATCACATTTTGTCAGTTAAAAAGAAAAAAGATGAGTTCTAAGACAGTGTTTATATTTGCTATGGTGGTGATTATGGTTGTAGCAAGTCCTTTGCAGTCTAATTTTCCGGGTTTAGAAGGTAAAGTATTTATTTAATAATATTGTAAAAATAGTTTTTTATTATTATTTAAATTTAATTAATTTTAGAGTAAATAGATTCGGCTTTACTGTTGCATTTTTAGCTGGCGTATTATTTCGATTTGACGCAAAGGCAATGCAAATTTTTTTTTTTCATAAATACGGCTTTATACTGTTGCTGCGAAATTACTTAAAAATTTATCTTTACAATCGAATTTACTATTAAAAAATTTACAAGTAAATATGTATCAATCGAGCTTTAATTAAATATTAAGTCGACCATTTAATCGACTACTATTAATTAATACTTATATATTTTTTTATATTTTTGACGATATATTTCATAACATTAAAAATAAAATAGAATGATAAATAGTAAACTACGAGTATATAATACAAATCTTAATTTATGACTCATAAGGATTAAATAAAATTAAGTTTGCTACCTGCAGCTGCTTTATTCCAATAATCCCTGTTTCGTAGTCTATTTTAGAAAATTGAAGTAGAGTTGTGAAACTATTATTTTTTTATAATATTATTTAATGTAGTAGAATCTTTTCTAATGAGAATGAAATCAAAGTTGGTACCATCCAAGAGCGTGTTCTACTAGTAAAACTGAACATTCTCAACAAAGAAAGATACGTCGAAAATGTTTCACGAAATTTCTGTCCTAATATAAAGCTAACGATTTTGATTTCTCCCTTTATTTGTGTACATAAATAATAATTATGAAGTGCATGATATGCGATAAATAATGTACCGATTAGCATCACGTGAGTGTGTTCTCAAAGAAACAAGAAATTATCTGCAGACCAATTTAGTTGTTATAGAATTTAAAAGTAAATTGATTTATTGTTCTGACGAACTTGGATGTAGGTAGTGTACTACGGAAATAGGAAAAAATATTTTTATACGTTTTGTGTTAATTTAGTAAAGAATATAAATAATTAGAAATTTTGCAACTTTTTACTAATCAATTATAATACTAAATCAAAATTAAAATAATAGTAGCATTGTACTTATACATTTTTTTTTAATAAATATGATTTATTTCACCTCTGAGTTTATTATCATTTTTATTTAAGAAAAATACTTTAAAATTTATATTAATTCTGAAAAGTTCATTATTATTGATATTTCATCATCATGCCAGCCGTTAACTGTCCACTGCATAACATAGGCCTCCCTCTATTGGAGAATTTAGCCATGTTTGGCAGGCGGGTTGGCAACTGCAGTTAGGCTTTGGTGATGTTTTAAAAGGGATACTGTTGCCCGTATCTCGGCTCTTAGTCGCCTCACTTACGAGAAAAGAAGGGGTAGCTTATTCTGTCCCGGAATTACATGGACATATTGATATTTACAATCCACTTAATACAGACGTTAAGAAACATATCAATAAATAAAGAAAACTTTGAAAAGGGATACGTGTTTATTAATTTTTTGTTTACCGCATATCTGTCTTCCCTTTATTTATTTTGATATTTGTGGAGTACAATATACACATATACATCGCTGCATATATATGTTAGACAATAAAATTTATACTACCATATAAAAAGAGCCACTAAATTCAATCGCAATTTTTTTTCATGTTGTTAACTTTAAAGGTTCTCGATATAATCTGACAGAGGTGTCAGTGATCTCGTTGGAGGAGCCGTGCGTACGCCAGGGAGGAATCTGCATGCGGATAGAGGACTGCAATCCTGAGAACGTGGTGGGAGTCCAGGCGATTCTTTGTCCAAATCAACATCATCGTGGTGTCGTATGCTGCTATGTAAGTCATACATTTTATATACATGTAGGCTTCGTCGCATAGTTCCTGGGTCTGAGGTTCCTAGTTCGGTCTTGGCCAATGGAAAAATAATGTGTATTTCGTATGTTAATTGTCGTTATTGTTGGCACTTGTTGAAACTTTGTATATTTATTGATATTATTAGAAAACACGTATTCAAACACAAAAAATTATTTAATAAATTAGAGATATACCGTACAGTATTGTCATATGAAAAACTCCTGATGTACACACGGGGATTAAAAAGAACCACTAAAAATATAGCGTATTCATTAAAAAATGCACTCATTTATATTCAATCAGTAATGTTTTTTATATTTATTTATATTTTCCATTTTGACTCCACTATATCGTATGATGAATAAACGATAGTTTTTTACTGCAAAAAAAAAGTCGCGTTACTTGTATTTTTGTAGTATGTTGCAATAGAACTTCATGAAGTGATAATGAAATATTATTGAAATTATAATCAAATACTTTTTAAATGAAATTAATAAGAAATAGAATATATAAGCAATTCATCGATTTTTTGTTTGTACTACCACTGAACATCAGCAGACTGTTGTGGTCGAGTCAATTATTAGTTTGTTCGCGTTTTCATTAACTTCTATTACAGCAGATTATAGTTCTATCATTAATAAGATAAGCAGTATGGTAATCCCCTTTTGATATATTTGAACATGGATTCAATCACGTAAAGCTATTATATATCAGTGTCTTGTCTAAGTGGGAATCACCGTCTTACTTATTTCTGCCGCGAGGTCAGAAGAGTAAGAGTCGATAAAATTTCTGAGTATTATACAAGCGATACTTAACATTTATACTAAAGAAACCTGAAAGAAAATAGAAAAAAATTTCAGTAGTACAGTATTTTTTTTTAAATTCGAAATTTCTATTTTAATACTTGTTGATGTTAAACACATATTAAAATATTTCTTAAACAAATCTGACTATTGATCAGAAATATATTTGAAATTTGCGCAGATTATACTAGGTGTATATTGCTTATATGAAAAAAATAGACACTGAATTGAATCACTATTTTGTATTTAAAAAGTATTTACAAATGCATGTAGATATTTCTCTTTACACGTACGCTGACAGAAAGATGATGAAAGTAAATTAGTATAAATACTAAACATATTTTCATAGGTATTGTTTATATTCACAATGTAGAGTTCTTACTTGAGAAATAAAGTATTGATAAATTTAAATGATGAGATGAAATGGTTTGAATGAAAAATGTTTTGAGATAATACTTCATATATCCTTCGCCTAAAAATGATATAAACTATTTTTTTTATTTCTAGCTGTAACCTGTGAACTTCCTCGCGTGAATTAGGATAAAAAGTACGTTTTGTAAGTGTTTCTTAATATTGTATATTATAATCTTGTGTCTTGTGTAATAAAAACGATGTTCGTTGAACGCTATTCTCCAAAACCGCTCGACCGATTTTATTAGAATTTTGTTATGTATTGTTTATTACAATTGAGAGTTAGGGTAATTTTTATTCTGATTAAAAAAAAACGTTTACTAGGTCAAGTAGTTCTTCCATGTACCAAATTACATTTAAATCTATCAAGCCCTAAGCCGTGTGATAAGCTTATAAACATCTTTCGAATATCTTTACAAACTATTATAGTTATAATACTATCTAGTGGAATTTAGTTTTAACAAGACCTTTCTTTATTACAGAGTTGAAGTCCATCGCCGGAGTAATAGCTTTGCGTACTTACAATTCACTTAGCATTTAATCTTGAAAACTTAATTAGTTATAAGATACCTAGCCATAGTTAAGATTGCAGTATTTATTTAAGAATCATTTTTACTATATCTATGTTTATAACTTTAACTTTTTTTTTATATAAAAAAAATATTATAAAAATATAACAGTAAAATAATGCGTGGTAGTTTGGTTTTATTAACCTTCTCCTTCCTCCTAATATACATGATATTATTGAAAACAAACAATTTCATTGCAATTTTGCTAGTACGTAAATAGTATATTTATATTCATATATTGTTATATAAGTTGTTATATACGTAAATAGTTTACCGGTTAACGCAAACAGTATATTTTAGCATGTTTATATTGACAAACTGGTATAGTGTTTATCGGAACGGATAAATTAATTATTACGTCTTAATATTTGAGTTGATAAAGACTTTTGTTATTAGGTAAATATCTCATTAATTAGGTATTACTGATATCGTACAATCATTATACGGCGAAACTTTCTAGAAACTGTTTACACATCCGCATCGACGGGAATTATAATAATAATTATTATAGATAAGTCTTTAAATAAGTTTTTTTTTCTTTTATTTTTGTTTGTACATTTTTCGCCCATTGTGGACTAATTTTGATAATTATTATTAGAATGGAAAGGGGTTTCACTGTGATCCTATATTAATGTTATCTGGCTTATTTCAAGTTTGTTTATTAATTTTTAAAGTAAGTACCTGTGAGTTAAAAAAAATATTATTGTTAATATTCTCCAATAGTTTGTCATAATTAGCTACATCTCCGAACGTACCCTGTCAAAGCTATGGAGAAAATACTATTGTAATATTTTCTGCAATTTACTATTACAATGCAGCATGCTCAGCAGTGACTGAAAGGGATATATTTTATGATTAACTTTCTGTATTTTCACTTTTCTTCTCTTGTATATACATATTTTATATACGTTCTACGGCATATATTTTCAGGAAACTATTTTAATAATTTGACGTAACAGAGTAGAAAACAAAATTCTTTTTATATTCAGCAATTTATAAAGAAGATAAATTTACGTGTACCAGGGAGTAAAACTGACCCAGAAATAAGTTTTACTTCCATCGATCTCCCCTAGTACCAGAGTATTAGAACACTAATTTCATTCCCTTCATGAAATACTGCAACCTCGAATAGTACATGTGTTATTGATTTTGATGAATCTTTTTTATAGCCCTAAAAATGATATTTTGTGGCCAGTTGATAAAATGTTGATAGCCTAATTATTCTACAAACTAAACATAGGAATTGTTTGTTTGTATGCTTTATTGTACATATAATAAAAAAAAAATTGCAAAATATACAGGAAAACTCATCATTGACTATTATTAAAGATGACGGCATGAAAATTAATCAGATTACAAGCACGTTATTAATAAATATTTTATTAAGAATGTAGGTACATTCGATCACTTAATTAACTCTTATCCGATGAACTTCAATATACTATCGGTTCAGTTGTACAGATACGTAATCATGTCATAGGTTATGTAGAGTCATGCAAAACATGCGTATTTGCTGAATGATTGTATACGATAATACTTAAGTAAGAAATGTGCTAACCGCGTGACTTTGTAGGAATTTTGAAAATATAGATTAGAAAGTAGCGACAGTTGATGTCGATATATTTTTTTTAACGTTAACTTTCATAATTCGTTACAAGTGCGGCCGTTCCCTGATTCTATATTTTTTCCTTAGGTCGTATATGATCCGCTCTGGTCACTATTGTGATCACATACGTTATGGTTTCTTTGTTGACATCTTATCCTTCCATTTAAGCATTAGATAAGTTGACAGATATATTACGGGCTATTATACATACATAACATACTAGTAACCACAGCAATTCAAGTAAAGTGAACAGAATACAGATGGGAGTCAATCTATAATTATTGATACTGTCACAATATTGTACAGGGGGCGGTCAGTAAAAAACATACGACAGACGAAAGCTCTAAAATTATTGTTTTGGCTTTTATTGCTCATAAAGTCATTAAGACGTCTCATAAAAGTCTTATATTTCTCCCTAATTTAACGTAATGCTCGATTGACCCCTGTGTTATAAAAAATACAAGGATAAATAAATTGTTTTCGGCGAAATATTTGTACGGAAATGTTTCGCCAGAAACAGGTTTCATTTAGTTACAATTTAAAATTATATTATAGTTAAAACGAGTATTTTTATAATGAATGGTTGTGTTAACTACTACAGTAAACTTATTGTATTGTAAACTCTTTATCGTACATAAATTATATAGGACACATTAAAAGATTTAATATTTTAATTTATTTTTCCACTTTGGGAATTTGTGCTATTGACACTCCCCCAAATATACCGATTGGTACCTCATCTAATAGAAAATTTGTTGTCAATTAATATGAAAAATACCGTGCATCTTTTAGAATAGACTATTGTCCACAGCACCACTCAAAAGAATTTCAAATGATCACTGGAAAGTTATAAACAGAGTAAAGAAGTTTGATTAGATTAATTTGCTTCTGAGTTTTTTAATAAAACAATTTACTATATTTGTTTATACGTTTCTCACATGTTATAATTATTTTATAAAAGAAAACCCAGTAGATAACTTCTAAATTCTAATTAACATTTCAACATTAAGTATTAAAAGTTTTTTGTCTTCTATGACATTATTTATTTTACAATATCTATGTATATCCAATATTTTGGATTTTTTTATTGATGAAGGAATAGAGCATCCACCCTTTCTAATTTTAACTATAAGGATGAACATAGGCTAGTGGGTTCATCGTAGCGAATAGATGTTAGGAATTAAATTATATTTACGATGGTTTTTAATGAATACGGCGTAGAGGTCGACATGATTAGTATTCTCATTTTTAACAATCCTCTCTACTATACTCGTAATATGAGTTATAGATATAAGACTTCCACCTTGGCCACATATATGACAGTATCGTTGCTAAGCAAGGCCATTTTTAACCTTTTGGAAGCCCTTAGCATATTAGGGTAATACGGCCCCTATGATAATTACGTATTATTATTATTTATAATGTTATAATTATTTTAAGGAATAAAAAATAAATTTTGATAGAGTACTATTTTGTTGGGATAGATAAAGAAAAAAGGTATATAAGTAAAGTTTTTCTTTTGCTTCTATTCATTTACAGTCATATTATGTAAATAAATGTGAAGAAAAAAGTAACACTTTTTACATTCACAGGTTAGTGCCTAGAAATCTATATTTGATACCCTTTGATTTTTTTATTTGAAATCTTCATAATAGATTTCAGATCGTAGGGCCCTGGGCACGTGCCCAGAGTGGCTAGTGGGAAAGAGGTGGCCTGTTGTTAACCATCTTGTTTGCTGTAAAATTTTATTCTGTATAATATACGTATTCAATATTGTTTTCTATTTTCAATTTTAATAACCAAGACATTATTCGCAATGTTTATACTAGTAGCTTCATTGACAACAATATACTCAAGCAGATTGACCTCTATGCGATTTCCCTACAAACGATGGGCCAACGAACTTGACTTCAAATTCAATCTCATTAATAATTCTTCTGACTTCCTTATTAACGAGTTTATCAGCAGTTTGTTTTGCGCAATATGCTTCCATAATAATTTTCCAAGTTTATATAAACAAGTACATCGAAAGACCAAGAACTAATAAATGTTAAATCTATATAAATTAACCATAACCTCTGTAAACTATTAACAGTCTTATAACTGCATTAAATACGAATTTGATTCGCGAACTGCGCATCGCTTTAGCCGATGTATGATATTTCCAAGAATCTCATAGCCAACAAGTTGTTGGCGTTTATCCAGTATACTATTGATACGACGGAAAAGTTAGTATCCTGCAGATTTGTAAGTCAAACTTCAAAGCAGAGGAGATTTTTAATAGCAAGATACTACTTTATCCGTCATTTGGGAAGATCGACCGAATTTCATCTAAAGACTCTTCTCGTCTTCAAGAAGAGTCTTTAGGATTTAATCTCATTATTAAAGCAGACCAATCTAGACAACGTGCCCGCATTCGAGGTTAAGCACTTCCACAAGTTGCTTTCAGCCACATTTGATCATATCGACGTCACAAGGTTACTGAGGAATATCACCACCTTGGAAGCAAGCCTGGTCGAAGTGCATTTTAAATTTGAGGCATCAGAAACTATCATCAAAGAACTGCGAATCGAACCTGCTAATTTACGCAACACTGATTCGTTAAGTAGGTCTAACATAAAATTGCAACGCGGAGCCCAAAAAGCATCTATCAGCAGATTTGATCATGGGTAAGTAGATGACACCACACCCGCTACCCGTTCCTCGCCCCCCTTATTTACATTTCTCTAGACGGTAGTGGGTCAAGAAAATGTACGACCACCCCTCAACGTGCATGGAAATAGTTACATTACCACTACCCCTCCAACTAAAGGGCCAACCAGGGGGAAAAGAATCACTGCGATCCAGATTATAAGGCCGAGCTATCGTGTATGCCAGCGCAAGTTTTCACTCGGATAGTAAAAGCGATATGGAGAGCTTCACCAAAGTGGAGAAACAAGAAGGTGAAAGAAGAAGAATAGGATAAGATAATCTGCTTCATCCGCCAACCCCTATGACGTTGCTATACATGTGCTGATTTCATTACTCTACAAAAGTTGAGGTTGTAGTACTCCACATCAGAGTGAAGTTCAACTTTACCCTGAGAGTCGAGTGGTTGAACTCTCACCACAGTTTTAATTTCCATTCATTTGTGGCGGGAGTGCCAACGGACTTTCAGTCGACTCTCATGATAAAAGAATTTGGGCGAAAAGTGTTGTTTCCGGCATTTTCAGGAACGGCCACTTGATAGGAAGTATCATACATTGCCGACACAACATGTGAATAATATTGATATTTTTTTTATTTTTATATGCCTAATTCAAATCTTGTTTCTTGAAGTAAAAAAATAATTAATTATACGAACTTTTGATAATCTAATTTTTGATATCCGTCACCTTTCTTTTTTCAAAATCCATTAACAATAAATTTTTGAATTCGGCGACCCTAAATTAGCTAATAATCAACTCCACGTCGTAAAAATGAATTTTTTGACATTCGCAATCTTTTTTTTTCAAGTTTCAAAAGTATAATAACTTAATTTTTGAAATCGGCTACTTTAATTTTGTTGAAAATACAGACCAAAAACGATAAAGAAAAAATTTTACGTCGCCATATTGTTTTTCATTTTTTCCCTTTTATGCCAAAATAAATTGCACAAAGTGCCCTATGAATAAACATTTGAACGAAATCGATCAGACCGATAGTTTTATAATTATATATAGATTTTATTGATACAACTTGGAATGGTAAAGGAGCTGGGGGCTCATTTAATGGAAAATGGTAACCATCGTCTATAGACATGAATATTTACCATATCAAATTTAATGGATTTCATATAATTAGCTGTAAAAAATATTCCTCATGTTAATTGTTATCGTCTAATTTACACCAGCAACTTCGACCAATTCTTTGTTTTAGTTAAGAAAATAATGGAATAAATATTTTGCCCTAATTACATAATTATAATTGCTTTTTTAGTTTTACTCTTTAATCAACTTAGAATAATATTTTTATATTAACTTTCATTCTTTGTACAACTAGGGGGTGAATTTTGAGAAATATTAAGTTTATTTATTAAATTTTTTTTTACTCCATTGCACCAAAAACATAAAAATAAACAATGACATATAAACAATTCAATTCTTATCGCTAGGGCAATTTCTTACAGACAATCTTTTTAAATAAGAAATACTATGATTAATTACAACTAAATCGGTAAATCTGTTTGCCGTATGGTTCCAGCATAGAATAGGTCCCCTCTTCTTCTCCTGTGGGTGAAGTAAGAGGCGATTAACTTAATAATTGGGGGTTGGGTAGCAGCGGTCCTCTTAAAACATTACCAAAGCCTAACTGTGGTTGGCAACGTGCCTGCAAAATATAGCAACTTTTGGCAAAACCTTCCTTATGAGTGAAACCTATGTTCAGCAGCGGAGAGTTAATGCCTGGTATGATGATAATGAAATCGGTTAAAAATATATTTTCTCATATAAATTCCACTGCTATTTTTACACCCTTAAGAATTGAATGTCGAAAAATTCTTTCTTATTAGTTGTGTAGGTTATAAAAATCTGTTGTCTAAGTATTTCTAGCTTTAGTAATTTCGGCTGTGATGACTTAGGTAGTTACTTTTAACACACTTAGAGGTTGAATATTAATAAATGCTGAAATTAAGTTTAATTATTTTTATGTTAGAGTATACATGGTAAATTACAAGAATTAACGAATAGAAGTTAATAAAATAAAATTCCATACAAATTTTCACCCTTATATTTACACTTTTAGGGGTCGAATTTAGAAAAGTCCTTTTTTATATAACAATAAGATTCTCTACATAAATCGTAGATTCTAAAAGGAATTTATTGTCAAAATTTGGTCATTTTAACTTTAGTAAATTCGGCCGTGCGTAGATAACTTACGATTTTTCTTTTTAAAATATGCTATATGTAGGCTGTGATATAAGTGTATAATTTTTTTGCACTATTTAATAAATAATAAATATATGAGTCCCTGATATACACATAATGCAATAAATATATTGACGACTATAATCCCTTTTATTTGTTGTTGTTGTAGTGAATTGCGGTTATATGGTAGTGGTAACATTACCCGTTTTTTTTTTGGGTATATTAAAATCCAAAGTAACAGAGGGTGTCATTTACATTAATTTAGTAGTCCCATTTTTACGCTACGATTTATTTGTAAAAAGTTTACAATGTTATTCGTTATAACGCCCATTTATTAAAACGGTTTCGTTCCGTTGCGACGCGACGGGCACACTGAACGCGGTTATATTTTGAGTTTTCGTTCGCACCCCGTCCAGAGTATACGTGTTCGAGCTTACGTACTTGTTGTGGTGTTCGAAAATAGAATCGCGTTCTACCTATTTAAAAAAAAAAAAGGATAGCTGGTGAGTACTTTTATTATATTTTTGGAATATTAGGATACATAGAAATATGAAAATTTGTACGATTAATTTTCAGTTATTCTAAGAAACTTTTACGGAATTGTATTAAATTTGTCACATAGTTGGGATATGTTTTAAAGAAAATTTTTGACAGTTCTCTCGTAGTAGGAATTATAGTTGAAATTCATGTTGTCAAAATTATCTTACCCCTTCAAAATTAAATAAAGAACAAACACTGATGGTATTTGTTCTCTATTTAATTGTTAGACATTTTAATTCAACCAATGGTTTAAGCGCTTTTCTTTCTGTCATGAATATAAGTGTAATAGGAAGTTGAATTAACTACTTTTAATGCCTAATAATATATTAAATACCAATATTATAAAGAGGAAAGATTTGATCGTTTGTTTGTAGTATAATAGAATATTTGGATTGAATATACATAGATTGCTATTGTAAGTGGACAGGATCCCTACTAGGATACCATGTGTTACGCTTATGGATAAATCTCTACGACAGTCATATTAATATATAATTCTAAATTAATTTTTTATCTATTTACACGTATGAAATCGAATGTTATAGAACTGTAAGATATAAAATATATTTTTCAGTACTAAAATATAAAATATAGTAAAAGTAGTCATTATGTTACGGTAAATAAATATTAAATATTAAAAAATTAAAATGTACTAATAACTATAATATTAAGAGAAAGAAGTTCAGCAATATATATCTCAGTGATATTTATTATGTAAATGAACAAAACGAAATAAAGGGTCTATTCCTGATATAGCATTTTACTTGGTTCTAATCCGATAGTTTATTGTATAAATTGACTCATGAATTCTCCTTAATATCAAATTCAAATATTTAGAGTTACAGAAAAAATGCTAAGAGTATTTATATTGAAGTAATTATGCAATGAATAAAAAAATGAAGATTTCAGTAAGTATCTCAATGGTTTACAGTACTCAGGAAGATTATTAGATGCTCTTAAAACTTAATAGTTTTACACATTGAGCTGTTCTGGATATTGGTACTAGAAGTCTAGACTAAAAAGTTAGTAGGTACTAAAAAAACTTTAAAGCGTAAAATGAAAAATAACAAAGTAACACCAAAATATTTTTATAATAGATATAAATGAATTTAATCTACGATTAACGTTTTGGTTATATAATTTTATATCTTAATAAAATATTAAAAATATTTATTTTTAATAATTTTTAATTCAACTGTTGTCGGACTTTGATATTAATGCTCTTGAACGTTTTATCCTATAATCTGTTCCAATAGAACACAATGAAAATGTAAATAAACGAATAATTGATTTAACCGTAAGAAAGCTTGCTCACATTCAATAGATGGCAAAAAAATATAGACATAAAAAATCGATAAACTTATTGAATTTGCGATTTACTACTAATTTAATTTAGAGAATGTTTCTGTGATAATTTGAACAAAATTGACAGCCTTTTCGACAACTTCTATTAAAACAAAAAAAAAGTGTAAAGTACTAATTAATAAAATATTTAATCCTAATATTATAAAGTACTCAAAAAGTATTCAATAGATTTTAAAAATTCTTTAATAAAACAAACTATGACAAAAAAGTATAAAAACAATGAAGAACGCATTTAAGCCTTGTGGTTTACCGAAGATGGGGCGGTGCGGTGGTTCGTTTCTACAGGCAAAATCGAACCAGTCGCTGTAAACGAATGCCGCCGGGCTATGCCATTGTTCTCGTACTGCTATGTTGCCCATGGGCATCACACGATGGGCAAACCCGGCGGCTATAGTATATGTTCAGGTATCTAGATCTGACTGTACAGTTTCTATTGAATCTCTGTTATTATTAAAATGTAAAAAATAATATAATAGATATAAATAAATGATTTTACAATAAAAGAAATGGTTACAATATTGTAATTGTCCATTTTCTTAATCAATATATTAATATTAACTAGCCTTTTCCCGTGGTGTTGCCCGCTTTTAACTATGTAGTTCAAGAATCCGGTCTTATATTGTATTCAATGAAAATTACATACCTAATACCTACATAAAGTTTAAGCCAATTCATCTGATTGGTTATTTTATAGCATTTTATATGTGATTCTTTAGATTGATATAACTTTTTTATTTATGAACAGATTGAAATAGAACAAACACTAAATGTTAAGTGGAGAAGTGAAACCGAAACGCATTAGTGAAAACAGCATTTAAATCGATTAAGCCGTTTCTAAGATTAGCGTGCACAAACGTACAGTCAAAATTCTAAAAAGCGTTGTTTTGGGTTCTATTGCGTTCATAAAGCCGCCCTATAATAGTTTTTCTTAAATATCTTCCATGTACAGACAGCGATCAGTTACGGTTTTATTATATGTATTGATTGATGTAGATATAGTAATTTTATACATTATAATAATATATGTTATACATTATAATATGCAGTATATCTGAATAGAACTAAATAAAAATATAAACAAACGAGTAATTGATTTTACTACAGTGAAATCTTATAATGTTGTATAGTAAATAAAAATGAACCGATTTTTTATTTTTACACTAGTAAATTATTAATTTTTTAAATTAATTGTAATAATTTCAATAAAACATCCCCTTTTCCATAGTACTATTAAAATAAACTGTAGTATTTATATATTATTAGTATATAGAGAGATTATACAATAATTGTTTATATGGGTATATTTGTCCCATTGGTATTTCAGACACTAGGCATGTGCAGTGTTTGAATGATTGTATTTCAGTTTGAATGGTGAGATTTTGATAGTAAAATTAACGAGGATAACTTAGTGGTCAGGAATATCGAACGTATGAAGGGTACTGTTGTGAAAGAGTTTAAGTAATTTGTAAATAAAATCTTTATAATCTTTATTATCTTCTTTTACCGTACTGTCTTAGTTTTCTGTATTCCAATATAATATTATTTATGCTAATTAATATTCAGTTAAATTAATAAAGGATTTTAAAGGCATCCAAGAGAAAAAGACAACGCAAAACCATTAATAAAATAAAATTTGTAAAAACATCAATAGGAGATATAATGTATTTTTGTTTTGTTTACTTCGTATAAATTATCAAGCAAGCAAGAATTATTCCTGAACAGAATCGAATAAATACGAAAAAATAAATTCTTTTATAATATTTACATAATATTAATTTTATATATATTGTTGTTTCTATGTTTGTGGGCACATCCGGTACAACTTTCTTCGCATTCAAAATACATACCATGCATAAATAATAACCAAAACAATGAATAAATATTTCATTAAAATAGTTAAAAACTATTCTAATTAAACTAAGTATCGAATAAAAAATGTTTACGAAATCGATTCCCTTTTATTTTATATCATAAATTAAATATCAAATACAAAAATTCTGCTACGAATGCCATTTATGCATTAGGAGGCAAAAATTGTAAACTATTCCGACAATAATTTATTGTTATAGGTATTAATTTGTTTTTCAAGGCCTATGACAATTAATTTTCAATGACTATAGACAACGTTATAGGTAGGTACTGGCACATCGTCGCACCCACGGCCGCGGGTGATTTTGAAGCGTTGACTCAGCCTTGGCGGCTCCAGGCGGTTTCGAAATAATTGTTCTGTAGATGAGCGCCTCTAGTGTAGTCGCCCGAGGTCTCAAAAGCTAGGTGTGCCTTAATATCGTCGGTTGGAAGAGGCAAAGCCCGGAGCGCCAGCGGCAGTATGGAGCGCGCCGCGACGCCTCGGGCGCTACCCGCCCCGCTCGCCTCCACATCCCCGCGTACATATTATTACTCCTCTTATAAAATAATCATATTTGCAAGTGAGCTTTGCAACTAAAGCGGCTAAATAATAATTTATGACCTCAGTGCGTTTTATATTGAAAGCCGATGGCGATGAACGAATCGTGATTCGACGCGAACGTCATGCGCGCTGCAGTACTTAATTTTTTGTGGTTTTAATAGCTAAGAATACGAAAATATACTACATAAAAACTTACATTATATTTTACTGTTACTAAATCCTTATAAATTACAATGGTTTATACAGTTTCATCATGTTATTTCTTAAAGAAACTTATGGTGCTGAATACTCAAAATATAAAGAAATAATTCTCTCACGTCGCACTAAGATATTATATATTAATAAAAGATAATAATAAAAATAATTTAAATTTATTTTATAACTTTCTGTATTAGTGTTTCTTAAAACAGTCCAAAAATAATATCCTATCTATACTCTTGTCTCAAAATTTTTTGTTTATTTAAAAAAAAATGTCTTAGTCAAAACACTCGCCTACTTTTCATTCACTTTTAAAGTTTTCTGACAAAAAGCTCAGTTGTAAATCAAGAAACATATTTTCACCCTACTAGTATGTAAATGCTAGTTTTCAATGAGCTAACAATAATTTTATTTATAATTCTTATTTAATTGTTTCTTAAATATCCCCGAACGGCCAATTACTACATCACAATATCCTTTGCGGATATTTAAGACTTTTTTATTTTATTGTCAAAAACTTCCCTAATCCATTATTTTGTATTAATATAAGTATCAACAGATTAGTAAAAATTAATTATATGCAGCCTATTATCCCCTTTTACCATGAAATTTTCATCATACACATCAATATTTACACTATTTTGATTATTTGTATTTCACATGCGTATACATAAGATGAGGAGTTGCTGAATGTAAAATTCATTTTCTATATGACAAAACGTTCACATATCGTTGCATAAATAAATAAAAAATATATGAAATATTATATTTGTTGTTATTATTTTTATTAAAACAGTAAGCACTTTCATTGAATTAAAAATACATTTTCCTGACTTAAGAGTTTCCGTCACCGCATTGGCGATCAAATTGCAGATAATTTTCTTTATCGATACTCATCCTCTTCTAATAGGGCGACTATTAAGTTATTCTGCAATTTTCACAAAATTAATGTATCTCATTTTTTGTATTGATATTTCATTAATAGCCATA